ACTGGGTCCGCATCCAGCCTGGGCAGGTTGTAGCCTCCAGTTGTTATCAACGGACCACTCAAAGTCATTACTGTTGCACATAGTTTTTGGGAAAATAAAAAGGGGGAGGGGAGTAATGTTTCAATGCTAATGTCTGAAATTATACAATTTACAAAATGTCTCACTGTGTCCTTGTTGCTGGGTTTGTGGGACCCTCTGTCTCTCTTGTGTCCCTGTCTTTCTCTGCCTCGGTCCTCTCTCTTGTCTTCCCCTCTTATTCACTCAGCACTGTCTTTCTCCACCCACCCCCCATGTGTGTCTCTGTTTCCCTCTCTGCCCCTTTCTTTTTTTAGGGTAAATAACTAGGTACTTAATAAAGTTATTGAATGTTGAAATGACTTAAGCATGTTGAGTCAGAAATTCCAACTCTTATAAAATAGTTCCGGACGTTTCTCTTGAGAAAGGAAGGAGGCCCATTCCTAGCGTATGCCCAGAGAACTAAAAACATATGTCACACAAAAACTCCTATACGAATGTTCATAACAGCACTGTTTACAATGGCCAACCAGTGCAAACAATTGTCCGTCAAATGATGCATGGGTAAGCATGCTGAGTGAAAGAAGCCAGACACAGAGGCCAGGTATTCTATGATTTCATTTATGTGAAATGTCCAGAAGAGGCAGAGCCAGAAAGGGATTAGTGGTTGCCAGAGGCTGAGGGAGGGGAGGAGGAGGAGGGACTGCTGATGGTGTGGGGTTTCCTCTGAGGCTGATGTTCTCAGCGTGATTGTGTGATGAGTGCACAACTCTACGAATAGGCTAAATACCACTGAATTGTGCGCTTTACATGGGTGAATTGTATAGTATATAAATAATAGGTCTGTTCAAAATTGTTAAATCATTACATAGAAAATGAAAAGAAAGAGAAGATATAAAATTTTAAATCAGAGAGTCTTCGAACTGGGAGAAACTTTAAAGATGATCTCATACAAACACATACGTATGAAACTGCAAAGTGTTTTGAGGGTTGGTGTGTTTTTTTTGGGGGGGGGGGGTTTGGACAATTTCCTCTCCCTTTTATGCCAGTTGCCTGTTGCCAGACTCGGGCTGCTGCAGAAATGGTAGGAACTCAGCGGTTGCCTTTGCAGCCTTTTATTTTATAGCCACATGGAGATTTGATCACCTCAGACTTCCATGGCTGTTTGTTTCTCTTGCCCATCCGGTGACGCAGAATGTAAAGCTACAAGTTCACAGAGCAAAACCCCACACGAAGTCCATTCCCATGCGGTGATTAACATAAGCTAATGTTAAGGTTCTGGCTATACGCCCATTAACACGACAGGGACGGTGGGTCTACACCCCCCCCATCATCCCTCCCGGCTTCTCCCTGTCCCTCCTCCACATCCCCCCCTCCTCCCAGCTGCCTTGAACGGGTGAGCTGTCAGCCCCAGTGACAATCATGGGCACCCTCTTTTTGGATAAAGGACTTGGAGGCTCAGTTCATAGCACATGGCTGTCAAGGCGAATGTTTTTTAAGTTGTAGCCAACATGTAAGTATTCTGCGGCCCTCTTCTTCCCTTTTTTCTAGTCATCTGCTGCATTTTATTCAGCCAGATTCACTCCCTCACCAGCTGTTAAGAGGGTGTCTAGACAAGTCACATTAGCTTGGGGGCCTTTCTGGAAAGGTCTGAAAGCCCAGGGCAAGCTCTTTGGCCCCTTGAGTGTGGCTCTTCCACAAAATACCACGGCCTGGGCGAGTCTATTTTGAAGAAGTGGCGTTAGAAGTTTAAGTTTAAAAAATGTGGCTCTCCAAAGAAATTTCAATCGTTGTCCTGTTGATATTTGGCTCTGTTGGCTAATGAGTTTGCCAACCACTGCTCTAGACCCTCCCCCACCTCCACCACCAGCACATCACACTGTTGGGCACCACATCCTTGACCATCTTGAGTCTGAGCTTGCCCTTCCTGATGTCAAACTCGTCCTGCTTGTTTTGTCTTTCCAGCCAGCCTTTCTTTGTGTCCTTCCATCCCTTACCCCTCACACGTGCTCCCTTCCCCATCCACCAAGCACTGATGAGTCTCAGGCAGCCTCTGCCTGGAAGAAGTTACACACACACACACACACATACCCCACGCCCCCTCCCCTCATTCCCCCCACATGGAGCCAAGGAGAAAAGGGAACCTCAGCAGTCAGGTTTCCCCAGCTCGGATCTGAGCCCAGGCACTCAACTACCAGTGTCCATGCCCAAACCGTACATATTGTTGTATGACTCCTCTTACGTCTTATGCTAAAATGTTCCCAAAGAAATATGTCATTGTCCGTGGGACTATAGCAAACTCGCTTCTAAAGACATTTGCTTTCAATCTAAACTCCTTCCCTAAAAGAGGGTCTCCTCTCTCCATTGTACCTCTCAGCACATAAAGCAAAACTAATTTGAAGTGACTAAGAAGACCAAGAATAATACCGTAAAGTGTTATATAATTCAAGCTTGATGTTCCAAGGAGAATTTGTGTCAGATAACTTGACAGAGCCTTGTCTGGAAGCAAAGGCTAAAGTCGTGATTCTTTGAGTCCCTGATGAAAATACCTAATTATTTGTTTCTGTTCCCACACAAGTCAGTTTCTCCAGGGAGTGTCTTCGGCATGCTCCAAGGCACATTTTCCTCGGAGAATTAGGCTTTTACAGCAAGAATCTGAGGTGTAAGAGTGGGAGTATTTTGGAGGGGAAAAGCAAAAGCTAAGAAATTATTTATTTTTTTTAAATAATGCTTAAGGAAAATCATGTTCCCATCACTATAGAGTAGATTTATTTAATCCTCTGCTCTGGGTCCTGGTGGATCTGATTACTAAAACTTAATACTCACCCCAATTGTTTGGTGAGATTATAATTGAGAAACTACAGATAGAATCTCTAGATAAATCTTATTGTACCTTTAAGAAATGTGTAAGAGCAACAAAAACCATGAAACCTTGCCATGGTGGCAGGGAAGGTCCCTTGGCTCCATCCTCCTCCTTTGAAACTACAGGGAATTCTGATCCTGCGCAGGCCTCATGGGGCGTGCTTGGGGGAGAGAACCAGAGAGGCCAGAGCTATGTAGGTAACTATTTCCGTACACAGCTGCACTGAAAGGAATTGAAAGCTACTGGAACTCATAAGTGAAATTAAATAGGTTGCAGGACACAAGATCAAATGCAGAAATCAATAAAAACCAATAAAATATATTAAAAATAAATAAATAGATAGATATGTCATGTCAATTAATTAGAAAACTCATTTAAGATGGCAATTCTCCCAAAACTGATCTATAAATTTTTTAAATGGGCAATTTCAATCAAAACGCCAGCAGGCTTTTTATTAATAAATAGAAATTGACAAGCTAATCTTAAAATATATGTGGAAATTCAAATGACCTTCTATTCCCTCTCTCATCAAGGTTAGAAGAATTTAAGACCATATATATATATGTTTAAAAAAACAATTATATATATAATTGATTTTTTTTTACAGAGAGGAAGGAAGAGGGACAGGGAGTTAGAAACATCGATGAGAGAAAAACATCGATCAGCTGCCCCTACTAGAGATGTGCTCCCAACCAGTGTACATGCCCTTGACTGGAATCAAACCTGAAACCCTTCAGTCTGCAAACCGATGCTCTATCCACTGAGCAAAACCGGTTTTGGCAGGACTCTTGTTCTTATAAAAGAATAAAACTCAATGAGGATGTAAAGTACAGCATAGGGAATATAGCCAATAATATTGTAATAACTATATATGGTGTCAGGTAGGTACTAGACTTAGCACTTAGTAAATTATATAAATGCTTAACTACTATGAAATAATATAAAATAATATTGAATGTCAACTGAAATTTAAATTTTTTTAAAAACAAATGAAACTAACAAGACATACAACCCAATTTTTTAAATGGGTAAAATATTTGAACAGACACTTCAAAAGAAGATATGCAAGTAGCCAACAATTACATGAAAAAAATATCCAACCTCATTAGAGAAATGCAAACTGAAATCATAATTAGCTGTCGCTACACCTCCAATAGAGTAATTAAAATTAAGAAGACTGATGAAAACCAAGTATTGGTGAGGATGTAGAAAAAATAGAGCTCCTAGACATTGCTCTTGACAATGTAGAATAGTATAGCCACTTTGGAAACCAACTTAGCAGTTTTTTAAAGTTAAACCTTCACTTACCATTTTACCCAGTAATTCCACTTCTGTGTATAAACCCAAGAGAAATGAAAATAAAAGTTCACACAAAGACTGTTGCACAAATATTCCTAACAGCATTATTCATAACAGTCAAAAACTAGAAATAATCCTCCCAGCTGGGTTGCGTGTTGACCTATGAACCAAGAGGTCACAGTTCCATTCCCAATCAGGTATCAATCCCCAGTAGGGGGCAGGCAGGAGGCTGCTGATCTGTGATTCTCCTCATCATTGATGTTTCTCTCTATCCCTCTCTCTTTCTTTCTGAAATCAATAAATATATATATTTTTAAAGTAGTTTCTAACAAATTTAAAAAAAAAAAAACACCTAGAAATAACCCAAATGTCCATCAACTGGTGAATGAATAAATAATTGCCCCTTAAACCCTCTAATAGCCCCAACCTTGCCAGCCACTCACCACTTCACTTGCCTTTAGGATGGTGCCTCCTGCTTACTTTATTAAAGTTATTGAATAACAAGAACTTCAAGATTGTTAGCTATGTATATATCTGGTTAATGAATGTCATTAACTTTTGACTTGCAATTTTTATTTTGGGGAACTCCCTGGAATCATAAGAGTGTTTGACAGGTTGATTTGCATGATGATGACATACGCGCATCGGCTTTTCATCACACAGAATTCGAGATCTGGGCATTTTCCCACTCGTCAAGTAGACTTCCTCAATAATTCATGTGCTACCTGCAAACTTCGGGGGGGGCAGTTTCTTTTTACTTTTAACTCTTTGAAGGATTATATAACACATGCGTGCTCTCATGTGTAACTTTTTCAAATTTTAGGAGTTCTTCGATCACGTGAAGAAGCTTTGGGATGATGAAGGCGTGAAGGCGTGCTTCGAGAGGTCAAACGAATACCAGCTGATCGACTGCGCACAATAGTAAGTCTGCCCAGCCAGGCCCAGGCTTCTTGAGGCTCGCATTGCACCACAGGGGCACTGCCCTCCCGGGGCCACTGGTGTCTCTCGAATGCTAGGGACAGATAAGTAACGTCTCACTGCAGAAATCAGCTTTCAAAACGAGGCACATGTAGGAGATGGAAAATTGAAAATCCAGTAGGAATCAGTGTTTCAGGGAAGAATCAGAAGCATGTGGTGTTATTTTTATCCTGACCTTTGTTTTCAGTTCTGTTCATTTTCACTTCTGTAGGGTCGTAGGCATTATAATGTACATTATAATGTGCTGAGATAGTCGTTATCGTAGTTCAGTTTTGTAGCGGGGTCCCCAAATTAAAATAATAGCAACACTGCAATCAAGCTCAAGCTCTTACTTAAAAAGTAAAAAGTGCCGGGACCAGTTTGGCTCAGTGGATAGAGCGTCGGCCTGCGGACTGAGGGGTCCCGGGTTCGATTCCGGTCAAGGGCATGCACCTGAGTTGCGGGCACATCCCCGGTGGGGGGTGTGCAAGAGGCAGCTGATTGATGATTCTCTCTCATCGATGTTTCTAACTCTCTATCCCCCTCTCTTCCTCTCTGTGAAAAATCAATAAAATATACTTTAAAAAAAAAAAAAAAAGTAAAAAGTGATACACTGGAGTAAATTAGGACCTGAGAGTAGATGATGATTACTAATAAGGAAATGTTTGATGAGAAATGTAATGAAGAGAAATAGAAATAAGGAAAAGACTGGTGCCGGGGCTGGCTGACTGCTTTTCCCTGAAATTCCTTGGTGTTCTAGATTCATTCTGTAACTATTAGAGGATAATGGTCCCCCAAGAAAATGTTCATCAAGGGGTTCTAGATATATTTGCTAGTTTGATAACAAAAATTGTGTTTAATTGTTTTATATGACTCTTTGGGCAGCAAGAACTCAGCACTTTTACATTTTTAGTCTGTAAACTGTAAAAATTCATACATGTTGAAGGGATTCCATAAGCATAAAATCCGGGAATTCACAGTATTTGGAACCAACTAGTGGAACTCTGCTGTAAATACAGATCTCAAGGAGAAAGCAGTGGTGTGGCCACTGCCAGCCCTTTCTCATCCTTAGTTCAGGCACCGTCATCATGTGGCAGGTGCCAATGGCAGGGCCCAAGGAGAAGGCACTGGGTGTGACCCAGGCCCTGACCGGAAGCCAGTCTGGGAGCAGATAGGTGATGGAAGAGTGTCTATAAGCAGGTGAGAGAGATCACTGTGGCCAACGCCTTCCAAGTGCCAAGGAACTTGGATCTTCTTCCAAATGCAGTGAGTACCCAGCGGCTCCATGAATGAGGTTGTCTGGGTCACTCTGGCTGCCGTATGGAGAATTAACAAAGGGAGGCAGAGACCTGGATGGGATTCCTTGGGTCAGGTGGTGGCCATCGAGGTGAGCCTTGGGCCTTAGGTGCTGAAGAGACAGAACGAGGTGATAGATTGGGTGAGGGCGGCAGAGGAAGGGGGACGGGGTAAAGGATGATAACGCAGTGGGGCATGAAGCCATTTAGGGAGATGTTGTTTATGGGAGAAAAGAGGAAGGCATCAAGCTCTGATTTGGAGAAGTTAAGTGTGAGACGCCAAAGTGATATCTAAGGGGAGCATTCAAGTAGACAGCCGGGTGGAGCCTGGCGCTCAGAGCGAGACTGGTGATCCGAGCAGGGAAGTCATCAGCCCTCTGGTGGCACACAAAGCCGTGGCGATGCGTGGACACACCGGAGTGAGTTCAGAGAGAGGCGTTTCCTGGCCCCTGGAAGATCAGTCCTCAGAAGCTGGTCTCAGGAGGAAGAGCCTGACATCACATCTGAGGACTGGGTGGAAAGAGGGATGAGGGTCTCTGGGATGAGATGGGAGAAGACTGATGGTGTTAGTTAGATTTACTTAATCTCCTTCTGATCTCGACCAAGAACTGGTTACACCCTCCACTCCCACGTCACCTTCCCAGTCTGAAAGCATTTGCTGAGCAGCAGCTGTAGCCTCAGCTCCGCATGGCACAGTGAAACCGACACACAGAGCAGACTGGCTCCCCTCAGGCCGACATGAGCAGTGGAAGCTTTAATGAGCCGCCACTGCATATGCTAAAGCTTTAATGAGCCGCCACTGCATATGCTAAAGCTTTAATGAGCCGCCACTGCATATGCTAATTAACTACTTGCTAATTAAAATTTTATTAAGTAGTATTTTAAATTTCTCATTTCCACCTGGCTGGTGTGGATCAGTGGTTGAGCATCAAACTATGAAGCAGGAGGTTACGGTTGGATTCCCAGTGAAGGCATGTGCCCAGGTTGCGGGCTGGGTCCCCCGTAGGGGGTGTGCAGGAGGCAGCCTATGGATGATTTTCTCTTATCACTGATGTTTCTGTCCCCTCTCCCTTCCCCTCTCTTCCTTGTAATCAATAAAAACATACTTTAAAAAAAGAGGAAGTAGATTAGTGGTTGCCAGGGGTTTGAGGGAGGGAGAATTGAGAGTGACTACTAACGGTACAGGGTTTCTTTTAGGGATAATGGAGAATGTTCTGGAATTAGATAATGGTGATGGTGGCACAAACTTGTGAATATACTTAAGATCACTGAATTGTATACTTCAAAATGGTGATTTTTATGTTCTGTGAAATTGTATTATGTGAGTCATGTCTCCACCTGAAAAAAGGAAGATGACAGGGAAGGAAGAGTCGGAGCAGGAAAAGTAACGGGAGCACTGGTCCAGCCTGGCCAGCAGGGCAGTCTCCTCGTGGAGCCAGTGCCCCTCTTGTCATCTACAGATGACAGTCCACACATGCATTATAGGGCCTCAACCACGTGGCTCTCCACGCCTGCACACGCATACACATGGGAGTGGAGCCTCCGCTGATAACGTGCCTGTGCTGTGCAGGTGAAAAGGCCATTGAGACCTGCGTTGTGTATGTGGCATGCAAGGAGTGGAAAGTTGCTCAGGCAACTTCAGGAAAAGGGAAATTTGCTCAAAGTCTCTCAGAAGCCACTAGTGAGCCGGTGGCACTGTCGGGAGGGAACAGCTTTTCTGTGCCTGCTGGGTAAGTGTTTTGACTTCACTTTTCCTGTCTGCTCTTCTCATCCCTTGCTGCTGATCCCAGAGGAGGCAGAGGAGATCAGTTTGGTTAGCAGCTACGCAGCCTGTTCCCATCCAGCCTTGTCCCCCACCCCATCATACTGCCCCACTGGCCCAGTCAGTGGCCATTGGCATGGCCCTCACCAGAGGCTGTGCTAAGGCCAGGGCAGCTGGACTGCAGACTCCCTCACCAGGACTGACATGGCTAGAGGCTTGTGGAACAGTTACTGTAACTGAGCTCTCAGTATTGTTCTTTTGGTAAAAAATGGGTGTATTTGAAGCATCAAGCAGGCTGTGCAAATGACCGGAGATTATATTTGATACACAGTTCCCCACTTTCCACCGGGAACCTTAAAAACAATCTCTCCGGCGTTGTCCCCCAAAATGCACTTCCTCTAAGTCCTAACAATAAATGATTGTGTAGCCATGGAAACAGCTATTTTGGGAGAGAAAATTGGATCTTAAGAGAAGGTTTATAAAGTCAGACTTTGCTTAATGTAACCTGCCGCTCTGCCGCTGAGAGTGTAGGTTCTTCTGCTTTGTACCAAGGTGTTTGCACGCTAAGAGCCTCTCCGGGAGTGTATCCATTTGAATAATTGCTTTTAGAATACTCTCAAAGGCAGAGAACGTCCTAGAAAAAAGAAAAGAGCAGTGAGAAAGTGATTTTCTGCTCCGTCTCCTGTCTGCGTCTGCAATCTGTCAGGAGTCCTGGCAACTATGTGTAGCCTCTCTCTAGTACTGGCTTGGAGTTCATGGCTCTCAAGTCCTTGAATCTAAGCTTTCAGGACAATCTGGAAATTATTAGCAAAAATGACATTTGAACTTCAAAGTTGACTGTTATTTTTTTTTCAGGTCATTTAAAAATTAGAGAAACTACTATGTTCTGTTGAATTCATTAAATATATAATGAATTCTCATTTGACCTTTATTTCTGACCTTTATTTTCAGTTTAATTTTCTCAATTTGTGGAGTTGGAGATGTTCCTGTTTATGGGCAGTGCAGTATACTTTTTATAGGAATGAAGAATAAATTTAGTGGCAGGGCAAACTAGGTAGACCAGATATCTCAGTGTAAGTCGGTCAGCCCCTGGTTATCTGTGTCTCCTGGGCTCGTTTGTAAGCCCTCATCCTGGGAAGGAATTACTAAGAGGGTTTGCTTAGCACCAATGTTTCCATGTGAGTAGGAAACCTGCACTTGTCCTCCTGGGTGTCTCTGTTATTTTTCCACGACTACCATGCTCACAGCACTCTTAACTCCAGGTGCGAGGAGGGAGTTTTTCCCCACCATGCGATTCTCTGTGACACCAGCTGGTTGTCCTGAAATTTAACTCAATTCTGACACTGTCTACAGGAGACGAGGTCAGACCCAGAGGTTATGGGCTGAGTCCCGTGAGGTTGCCCCACTTCAGAGGCCACTTGCACATAGTAGGTCCCCAGCTTACTCACAGCTTCTGTTCAACATAGCTACAGATCAGAGGTTCCCTTTGAATTTGATCATTTGCTAGAACAGCTCACTCACAGAACTCAGGAAAACACTTATGTCTGCCAGTTTATTAAAGGATACAGATGAACAGCCAGAAGAAGAGAGACATAGGGGAGGCCTGGGGATGGGGGGTCTGGAGCCCAGAGAAGTGGGGTTGTGTTAGCCCTCGGGTACATTTGTATGTTCACCAATCTGGAAGCAGCTCTCCAAACCCTGTACTGTTGGAGTTTTTATGGACTTTGTCATGTAAACATGACCCCTCACTACATCCATTTCCAGCCTCCTCTCTCTTACCTGGAGACTGGGGGCAGGCCTGGAATCATGGCTTGGTCTTTTCGGTGACCAGACCTGGATGGCTCCAGGAGCCCACTCAGAGTCACCTGATCAGAGCAAACAAGACCTCTATTATTCAGGACATTCCT